AAATAACGAAAACTACTCGAATTATGAAAATTCAATAGATGAGCATCCACCCAAACAAAATAATTTAGAACCGCCAAAACATCCACCAGGTTAAATAAATTACAATAAAATAAAATATTTAATTTTTTTTATAAAAAAATAATAACAGTAAACGATTTTCAGGTTCCAACTTTGAATTTGAGCAACCTTTCTTTACGAAAAATCCTAGTAAGTTGCAAGGTGAAAGGCTTACTACCGTTTTAATTAAATCATCCAGAGGGTTAGGATTTACTATAGTTGGAGGTGATGAAAACGTTGAAGAATTTTTACAAATTAAAAGTGTTGTGCCAAATGGTCCGGCATGGTTGGACGGAAAATTGAAAACTGGCGATGTATTGGTGTATGTCAATGAGACTTGCGTTCTTGGTTTCACACATCACGATATGGTTAGTGTTTTTCAGTCTATTTCTCCCGGTGAAACTGTTAAATTGGATGTTTGTCGTGGTTATCCGCTCCCGTTCGATCCTAACGATCCAAATACGGAGGTTGTGACGACCATAGCTGTCAGTGCTCACGATTCAATTATCGGTGAAACGGACAATTATTTGGATGAAGATATATGCGGTAAAATTCCTGAAAATTTATTTAAGTCTCTCGTTGATAGTAATCACGTTAGATCCGGTTCCGACGATATTTTAAACAATTCTGTTAAATCAATGCCTGATTTATGCTCGTCTGAAAAAATTAAAAACATGCAAAGACCGAATAGTACAGACCTTTTGCTAGAAGATTCTACTAGGAGCGAAGCTGAATTTTTTAATGATCCGCCAGCTATTCCGGAGAAACCAGAGTTTTTAAGCATTTCAATTGTTAAAGGACCGATGGGATTTGGTTTTACAATAGCTGACAGTGCTTACGGTCAGAAAGTAAAAAAGATTTTAGACAAGTTAAGGTGTAAAAATTTAATGGAAGGTGATATACTTGTTAAAATTAATTCTTCTAACGTAAGGAACATGTGTCACAGTGAAGTGGTTCAAGTGCTCAAAGACTGCGAAAAAAACCAAGAAGCTATGGTTACAGTGCAAAGGGGTTCAAGCTCGCCCACAAAATCTCGTACGAGAAAAAACGATTTCACTCTTCAGGCTCCAGGTATCGGATTGTATCGGAGTAAAACTCCAACGGCTGATTTATACAGCACTCAGCAAAAAGAAATAATGCCTAATCGCCCGAAAACTCCTATTGTGGACACAAGATACAGATCTAAAACTCCGATCTTTAATTCCAATTGGGCTGATATGAAATTGAACGCATACAAATTACCGCCCATTTCTCAAGGTCATGTTGGTTACATGGACACAGTTGGAAAAACAAACGCATTCGAAAATCAAAATCATCATTCAAATTTTCCTAAAAGTGATTCTTTTTCAAAAGAAAATCAATCCAATTATATAAAAAATGAATCGGTTTCGCGGGAAAGCTTCAAAGTTACCCATAATAAAGACTACAATAATGTTTCTCCCACAAATATGGAAACGGACGGAGTAAAAAATCAAAATCCGAACACTTATTCCAATTCGCCCATAGAATATTTCAACGGGTATTCAGAAGGTGGTTTTGAATATTCTGACGATTACACGGGATTAGATCCGAATCCTCAAGGATTAAAACACGACATTAATCAACCTCATTCCAGAACTCCGTATTTTCATGATTCAATATCAGAAAATAATTTAATTAGCAAGCCTAAAGAAAATTCTATGCAAAGGTAATATTTTTATTTTAAATCTTTTTTATTATTTTACATTATTTACTAGCCAATTACAATTACACTTCTTCAAAAATGGTTTCTCACGAGTAAAAAATTTTATTAATAAATTATGGTTCGAATGTTTAGGTTCACTCCACATTTAAAAATGATTTCACCAGGGAATGGTAGGATGTTTACGGGAACATCAAATTATGAATACTTAGAAACGGTTGTATCTTTAGTGCGACAGGAAACGGGGTTCGGATTTCGAATAGTCGGGGGTACGGAAGAAGGTTCACAGGTAGGAGGAACGGTGAGAACCTTTTTGATACCCAAAGGTCTTAAAAGTACAGACCAGGGTTCTGTTAAATAAGTATTTTTTTTTTTTTTAGATTCAATAAAAATCTACATCGAATTTTTTTTTATCAATTTTGAATCAATTATTTCACTTTTATTTTTTATTATTATTATTATTTTTTTAAAATATTATTTAGTTCATAAAATATTTTATGTTTTGTTATAATTTTAAAATTTCTATAATTTCATTTATTTTCTATATTATTTATTTTTTATCGCGTGTACATTTAAAAAAAAAAATTTTCAACGTCGTAATTGATTTTTCCTCGATTTGCAGGTTTCAATTGGCCATATAGTTCCTGGAGGTGCTGCTGATTTAGATGGAAGATTGCATACTGGTGATGAAATCATAAGCGTTGATGGACAGTCGGTTATAAATGTTTCTCATCATCATGTTGTTCAGCTTATGGGAAAAGCGGCGGTAAATGGAGCTGTCACTATTGGAATTCGCAGACGAATTCCTATTCAACAAGGTTAATAAATTTATTAATTTCAATAAGAATTTTAATATAAAAAAAAGTTTCAGTACAAAATAAATATTTAATTGCAAATTTTATTTTTTATACCCTAAAAATTAATTTTATACAATTTTTTTTGTTTCTATTTTGTATTTTAAAGAAATTCAACACAATGCAGGGACTACCTCTACATATCCGTACCACGTGACGGTTACAAGGAGAGAAGATGAAGGTTTTGGTTTTGTTATTATTTCTTCGTTAAATAGATGCGGATCCACCATCGGTAAATTTTTCTATTATTTTTTAATTAAATTTATTTTAAGAATTAATTTTATTCATTCGTCTAAATCTCTATTGAAATTTAGGAAGAATAATTAAAGGGAGTCCTGCCGAACGCTGTGGTCAGCTACATGTAGGCGATCACATTTTAGCTGTTAATCATATGGATATCATTTCTCTACATCATGGAGACATAGTTAATTTAATTAAAGATTCAGGTTATTCTGTGACGTTGACAATCGGCCCTCCGCTCGATGACAATTCCAGCAATGCATCACAGAGGGTAAATAAACACAATATTTCGGGTACAGGGTGCAAAAAATAAAGTCCCGGAAAAAAAAAAAAAAAAAATTAATGACTGTTTTAATCTTAAAGGACGAAATAGAATCCGGAGTCGAAGATGATCCATATCTTGTAAACCGTCCATACGGTTATTCAACACGAGCGTCGAAAGATGGAAACGGTTTGGAGGATCAGTATCACGCCGTGGAATTGAACAGAGGTAGCAGAGGTTTCGGGTTTAGTATCAGGGGAGGAAAAGAATTTCAGAATATGCCTTTATACGTTTTGCAAATAGCCGAGAACGGTCCTGCCGCCGTAAATGATAAATTAAAGGTACCCTTTTATTCGCACGCATTTCTTTCGGATAAAAGAAATTATAATAATTGAAAATTTAAAAAAAATGGAATTTCAGATCGGAGATCAAATCATCGAAATAAATGGTATCAACACTAAAAACATGACTCACGCCGAAGCCATAGAAATTATAAGAAAAGGAGGTCCGTCTGTCAGATTGTTGGTGCGCAGAGGAGAAAAAGTACCTCCTCCGCCATAATTAAAGTCATTTTAGTGTTAAAAAATAATAAATGCTCAAGTTATTTAGTAAGGAAGAAATCTTCTTTTGTCGCAGAAGAAACGCAGACGAAACATTTCATTTTTTTTTATTGTACATAAACAATTTTATTGTTTGAGTTTTTTTTAATTTTAACTAAATGTATTTTTAATGATAATACTAATGGTATTTAATAAAATGAAAAATTTTGAAAAACTTAATTGTTGTTAACAAAAAAAAAAAAAAAAAAAAAATGACTACCGAAAGGTTTTGAGTAAAAGATTTTATTATTCTTTAATAAGCGTCATTGCTTTTTTTTTTTTTTTTTTTTTTTTTTGTTATTAAACTTTGTTTATTTAAATAATAATTGAATGTTATTTCGAGCTTTTTGTAGCTTTTTACAACTTTTTAAAAAAAAAAAAAAAAAAAAAAAGAAATGTCTCATCTGTAAAATAACAATGATGATGATGATTATTATTATTTTACAGTAGTCTTTTTAAAAAATTAATTTAAAAGACTATTATTAATAAAAAAATATTTTGCACGAATTATTATGTCATTAAATGTTTGCATTATTTATAATATGATATTTATATAAAATTGTATCCCCTTCAAAAAAAAAAAAAAATGGATTCATTAATTGATATAATTTCATATTGTGCAATTTTTTTATTTTTTTGTTGTGTCCTCACTATTTTTGAAAAAAAAAATTAATAAAAAAAAAAAAAAGGTAGACTGTTTGTTTTATAATAATGTTTTTACTAATACACATTACAAAAAAGGTTGTTATATATAATATTTACTATATTAAAACATCCTTTATTTTATCTATTTAATGTTAGTTATAATAATATTATTTAGAAGTGAGAGAGAGAGAGAGAGAGAGAGAGAATAATAATATTAAAAAGCTTAAGGCTTACTCGTTCAATTTATTATTTCATTGTAATAAATTATTAAAATGTTAAATTATTAATTATGAATTTTTATATTTATATTTATATATATATTAGCAGTTAAAAACGAATTTTTTTTTTTTTTTTTCAACTCCATTTTTGTTTTCTTTTTTTTTTTAAATAAATAAATGTTTGAAATTATATTAAATACTTTGTTTTTTTTTATTATTATTATTGTTAGCGATTTTTATTATTTAAAAAAAATAAATAAATAAGAATTACGCTTAAGAATTTATAATGTTTGTAAAAAAATCATGAATTTTGAATTTATTTTGAATTTATTTAAAAAAAAAAAAAGAAAAACTCCATTAAAATTTTTTTTATTGAAAATTCTATTCGAATCCTTCTTTTTTTTTTTTTTTGGAAAGGATTTTAATTAATTAAAATGAAATTAAATTGTTTTATTATTATTATTATTATTATTATTTTATGTAATAGGTTTTAAAATCCAATTATTTATAAACGTAATTAAAATTCAATAACCGATTTTCTTTTTTTTTATTTATTTGTTTATAAATTGTTGTCGCGAATAATAAAAAAAAAAACTTTCATTACAAATAAAGAAATAAATCTTGAATTATACCAAATAAAGATCGTTTTAAATTTTCATCTAAATAAGGATGTTTTTCTAATGACACGATGAATAACGAACTCGGTTAAGCCATTTTTTAAACAAATCTTACATTTCGTCTCCGCCATTTCCATATACATAAAATAATTTTTTTTTTTTAAATATAAAATTACTACGATACGGTACAAAAAAAGTAAAATTATTATTACTATTAACTTTTTTAAAGACCTTGATTACAAATTTGATAAGATTTGCTAAAATTAAAAAACCAAAAACAATAATAAAAAAAAAAATTTTTTTGTTAAGTCTGATTGTTATAGACATATTTAATGTTTAGCTTATTTAGCAATTTTAATCGTTTTAATTTTTTTTTTTTTTTTTTTTTCGTGAAAAATCGTGTGCGATTTTTTTTTTTTATATAAAAACATATTATTATTATTATTTATTTATTTAAAAAAAAAAAAAAACATTTTTCCACAGATAAAATTTTATTTTGAAAAAAAAAAAAAAAAAACCACGAAAAAGTATGATTAATCATTATTGAGATATGAAAACGTTTTAGAAACTAATGACCAACATAAATAAATTGGCAACAATAGACAACAATAACTCTTCCATATTAGGCATAGAATAAATAAATTAACAATGACGTCACACATGCGAAAACATTCATTTTAATAATGGCAACGAACAATCACGTACGCCGCTGACTGACTCGGTGCCATTTTTTTTTTTTTTTAATACATTTTAATAAGAACATAAGTTTTAAAAAAAATAATTTTAATGATTTATGTATTGCCGTACTAAAGAATGTGATTTTTTTTATTGTAATATTAATAATAATAATAATAATAATAATAATAGAGTTCTGATACATCGGGGGTACGTGTTGGAGTATGCATTCCAATCTACGTCACCCAAAAACGGTTAAATTTTAACGTGACGTCATACTTTATAAATTTGCCGATCATTCTATCAAAAATAATAATAATAATTTATATATATTTATTGGAAAAAGGGTTTGTAAGAAATACGTTTTCAAATAAAACTAAAACGTACTCATAAGCTAAATATTAATTTGAGTACTTAATAATAATAATAATAGTAAATTTTTTGTGGTATTTAAATACTAATTATATTATCTTGGTAAGATGATTTTTTTTTTTTGTATTAGTAAAGTAATTTTAAAAAAATTAGTAAATTTAAAATAAAAAAAAATTTGTTTATTTGTCACACCGATGATGTTTTTTTTTTTTTTTTTATACGCTTGTAAAATTAGTGTATAATCGCATTGAAACTGAAGAGTGAGAAAAAAATTATCGTTGAGATTTCAAGGTTTATTATTATCATTATTATTATTTTTAAGGAATTATTTCGTCGTGACAAGCAGAAGAAAAAGAAAATTATTTAAACGATTTGTTTATTACTTCATCATAAGTAATTAAGGTTTTAATAAAAAAAAAGGGGAGGGGGCTTTAATTATTTTAACAAATTTAAAAAAAAAAAAAACGTTTGTATTACGTTTTGAAACCGACAAAACGGAAACGAATATCGGCATGAAAGGGATTCTATTCTCGTACTAAGAATTTTTGGCTCGGATTAAAATGTCTACTATTCACTCTTAGATACAGACGCGCTTGTTTTTTTTTTTTATTTTTTATTTTTTTTTTAATATTTATTTTTTATATATATGTTTTCTATTTTATTAATATTTATTACAATATCGTTTTAATTTTTTAATAAATAATAAAAAATTATTAATTAAATTTGAAGTTATAATAATAATAAAAATAAATTTTAGTGATTTAATATTAAAAAAAAATATCCGCGCGAGTGTGTGTTGTGAATTGTGAATAAACTTTTATTATTATTATTATTATTATTAATATTTTATTAATTATTTTTTTTTAACAACAAATTTATTTATTTTAATGCTAAAAAATTGTTTTTTTTTTTTTTATTAAAATTAACTGCTTGCTTCTATCTGTGGTAGTTATATATATATTATATTTATAAACAAAAGAGAAAATTTTTTTGTTTGTTTGTTTGTTGTTTTTTACATAAAAATTTTGTCTTCTGGGATTTCATCCTCGTAAAAATTTTTAAATTTAGGAATTGAATTTTTTTTCTTGTGTCATTTTTTTCTAAAAGATGTCCGTTAAATATCAAAAAAAAAAAAAAATTACAATTCAATGTGTTGTAAAATAATTTTTATATGCATTTACTAAGCGTTAAAATATTAAAATTACACCTACCTTGTTTCTAATAATAATATATTTATTTATTATTATTATTATTATTCGAAACGAAGTTTTTTTTATTAATAAATGCCAAAGTTTTTATTAAAAAAAAAAAAATTTATTGAATAAATATGTGTGTGTGTGTGTGTGTGTGTGTACGTTTAGTACATGAAAAAAACAAAAAAAAATAATTTAATTATTTTATATTACAAAAATTTATATTAATTGATAATAAATCAATCATTCATTCATTCATTCAGTAATTCATAATTTAAATTGGCATTAAATAATGAAATTTTTATCGAAATTATTACCTGAAAATAAATATTAGACTAAGAGAAAAATTTGACAAAAAAATTTTTTTTCTATTACTAATTTATCAATTAATGTTGTTATTATTATTCTTGATTGGAAAATTATATAAATTTTTCTTTTGGGAAAATTTATTTTGATAAATTTTTTTTTTTTTTATAAATAAAGTAAAATAATAATTATATAAATAAAATTTTTAAAAATGTTTAAAAATAAAATTCTCCAGCTGAGTTGATTGAAATTTCTGACTTTGAGATTTAAAAAAAAAATAAAATTTTTTTAACTTTTAATAATTTATTGTTTATCATTTTATCATCATTAATAAGTTAAATAAATACATAAGTTGAATAAAAGGTCAAAATAAAAATTTTAACAATACCCGATGAGAGATGATTGATGGTAAAGATGAGAGTAAATAAAAATATGGCGTACAAATAAAACAATTTATGGGGTCGGTAAACTTTTGTTATTTTTCGATGGCAAAATTTAAAATTTCTTTTTTTAATATTTATTAAAATACCTGTTGATTGCTTAATTTTGATTTTAAATAAAAAGCTTTGGCCAAAAATTTATATATAACCAATAATAATAATAATAATAATAATAATTAGAATTAGAATTTTTTCTAACCGAAAATTTTTAATTAATTTTAAAAACATTTTAGAAATATGTAAAGCATTTATAATTCAATTAAGACTTACTTTTGTTTGAAAAAATTAAAAAGGAAGAATAATAATAATAATTTAATTATTTAACGACCTCGTGACATAATTATAAAATATTTTGTCTTCATTTGGATTGTGATTGTAAAAACTTCATGTTTTTTTTTTTTTTTTTTTTGCGCGCGCGCCGGCAAATCGAATCTAAAGGATTCAACGGTTATAAGTGTGACGTAACGAGTATTTAATTTGAAATCTTTTGCCTTATTGGGCTTTGGCAAAGTAAGAGTTGAGGTGATCGCCACCAGGTTCGTTGTACAACAATGTCAGTGTTCGAAAATGAAGGAACGGCAGTGTGCCTCAATACGAGTGAGGTTTCCGACCAAGTTCTCAGTGAGGTTGATGAGGATATGTCTGGTGCAGAACGGGATTTAGCAGAAGACGCGCAATGGAAGAGAATACAACAGAACACGTTTACGAGATGGGCAAACGAACATCTTAAAACTGTTAATAAGCATATTCAAAATTTAGAAACGGATTTATCCGACGGCTTGAACCTTATAACACTTGTTGAAGTTTTGGCCGGAAGAAAACTTCCCAAACATAATAAAAAACCCAATTTTAGATCTCAAAAACTTGAAAATGTTTCTGTGGCGCTTAAATTTTTAGAAGAAGATGAAGCTATCAAAATAGTTAATATAGGTGAGTCGTTTTTTTTATATTTACCGGCTTTTTTTTTCGTTTCCGGGGGTTGAACTGTAGAGATTCGGAAATATTTAAATAAAAATAACCGTTTTTTTTTAAATATGACGGTTAAATGCATTTCACGCGTGCCTTTTTTAAATTTAAATGCATTTTTGTGTACTACAATTTAAAAAAGTTGATTTAACCAAATTTGTCGGCATTAATATAGTCCGATCGAGTATTATTGCGGTTTGAGAAAAAAAAATTATCATCATCATTATTATTATTTTTTATAATAATGGATTAGTCAAAAGTTGGTTGGTTGGTTGGTTGGTGTGAGAGAGAGACGGCGGAAACCAGTTTTCCAGTTGAAATTGGTAATTTTTCAAGGTCGCGCCAATTGTTGCATCCGTTATATAAAAAATCTTTGTTAATTCTGAGAGTTTTTAGGTAGCAGCTAAATGTTAAAAAAAAAAAAAAAAATTTTTTTTTTTTTATTTCTAACAATTCAAACACAAACACGCTTGTAAAATTTTGTCGGTATTTAACATTTTTATAAATATAAGAATTTTATTCGAACAAGTTATAAAATGTTAACACATTTTAAACTAAATAATATTTAAAAAATTTTCGAAAAAGTAAAAGGAAAAGAAAAGAAAAACCATGAACTTTTCTAACAAAAAAAAATGTTTCTCTCTCTCTCTCTCTTTCATTTTTAAGGAAACGCACAATTTTTTAAAAAAAAAAAAAAAAAAAAAAAAAGAGTTTATTTATTGCTTTTATTTTTTTTATTACCGTGTCGGGGAACCTGGATTGGTTCTCCTACGTTTTATACCTTATCATATGCCTAACATTACAAAAAAAAAAAAAAAAAAATTTTTTTTTTTTTCTGAAATAAATGCATATTTGTATGTGATAATTTTAGTTTTTCATTTTGGTCAAATTTAGTTACGTGAATATGATTTTATTATTATTATTACTTCCACATAGCATATTTTAGTATGGATTTCTCAGGGTCGTCGGTTCAAATTATTTTAAATAAATATAAATAATAACTTGAAATAATGTTTTTTTTTTTTTTAACAAAAAAATTCCGGAAGAATCAACGATGATAATTATATAAAAAAATAGGTCATCGTACATTTTATAATATCTATTTGTTGATAATACAACAAATGAGAATTAAAAAAAAATTGTGTTTGTTTGTAAACAAAATATAAAAACACAGATTTATTTATTATTTATTTATTATTTATTTATTTATTATTTATTAATTATTTATTATAATTTTTTTTTTTTTTTGGGTATGACCCACAAATTTTTTTTTAATCTCAGTTAAATTAAATTTCCTATTTATCATGTTTTATGCGGTTTTACTAATTACATTTGGTTTATTATTATTATTATTATTATTATTATTATTATTATTATTATTATTATTATTTTACGA